TCTCAAAGATCCTGCGTGTGAGCTGACAGAGCAGACTTATCACTGAGAGCTGACTGCTGTGGAGGCGGTCAAAGCGAGTGAGTATGTTAGTCAGGGTATCCTGCAGCATAGCCCTGCAACCGGGAGGCAGCTGTGGGGCCTCAGTCACTCGGCAGAGCCTTACATCCGTGCTGCTGTCTATGCTTTGAGTACGCCTACTGTCCCCTCCCTCCGATGCCGATGCAGATGACGTTGAATGCACACTGAAGCAGCAGATGTCAGCGTCACTCTTCAGGCGAGGTAGGCATTCGGCGGCTCCTCGTAGTAGTTCACGGACCTGATTTAATATAAAAGCGCAACGGAGACAGGTAAATGAGAATGGGAATAAGAATCCCGTTAAGATCTTTAGGGACTTAAAGGTGTACCACCAAAAAACAAGGCATACAAGAATGATCATTATTGACATATTTGGTGCCGACAGACAGTGATAAACAAGGCTAGACTTAAAGTAAAAGAAAATGGTATTTAAGACTCAAGGGTGGCGAACGCATGAAACAGTCCTTTAACGAACTTTCGCCTACGTGAAAATTAAATCTGGGACTTGTCCAGAGAACAGAAGATACTTTACTCGAACAGCTTGAACAGCTAAAACATAGGGGTTACAATTTCGGTAAAAAACTGTTGTCCTTAAATTTATGTGGCATTTGTGATTAAATCTATCGTGGAGAAAATGTGCTATCTACGTCCACTCATGTGCATGAACAATTGCTAGTACTCAGAACTCGAAACCAGCCGCCCAAAATGGCCGTAGGAACATTGGAGACACATATACACGTGAGAGCTCCCACACTGCTGATAAGATTTCTATAATGAAGAACCACCAGTTGCTGGCGGAGTTGCATTCTGCATATACTCCTGGTCGAGCTGTGCCTGTCTGTGCGGGACTCTAGGTTGAGTCCTAAAGCACAAGGAGAGGAGCAACTCTAGTAACACGCCCATGGATGCACCTATACCACGAGCGTCTATGTCATAGTCGACTGACCGAAGTTTACTGAATTCCATACCTTTAGGTTATTGCTCAATGAGAGCATAGATGGGTAAGCTTTCCCTACCTACAACTTATACACTTTTGAGCTTTGGAAAGCGTTTTTTAGCAAACGATGGGCAACTTTCATTCTAATATCATGGGCACTATGACACGTAATTCGAGTCAGCCTATGTTACGCAGGGATAATAGTTATCGACAGCGCCCAATTAAATAGCTACATACACGCGGCTTCTTACAGTAGAACGTCTGATGCGCGACGAGACTTGTTTATTATAGCGATGGAGCCGACTGTTCTGTGACTTAAATTAACATAAAACCATCTGAAAGGGTGTCTGTAGTCTATCATCACCCTTCAGTCTGTTCCTGCTGATCCGGGCGCGACTCGATGAAACATCTGTGTTTACTTTCTACCTAGCATAGATAGGCCTGCCAAGATGCATCAGAAGGTAAAATTTCGCCTAATCGAAATCAAACCTCAGATTGCGAGTAGCCAAAGAGCGTGGTCGGTTAAGGAATTAGACGAATTGAGATAAGTTTTCGGTAGACTGCTCACCACTGTCTTCATTCGCATCACCTGGTGTATAACCACTCTTTTCACCTCCTCAAAATGCCGCATTTCGTGGTCTGCCTAGTTTCTCTTCAATTCTTGTCCCACCAAGGCTTCGTGATGGGTGGGCAGAGATCCACAGTTACAACGCTATAAAGAAACTGACATTAACAAAGCTGCTGATGGCAATATCAGACTGGAGCATCGCGTAGTCTTTACTAAACCCCGATAAAATAGCAAAATTCGCCTTGTCAAGATATCCCTTAAAAGAGAAAATAACCTTGAGACCTAAACCAGTTTATAGCCTAATACATTTATTTATCCATGTGTTTAGTTCAAAACAGGCCTGAACCTTTGTCAACAAAGAAGCATACGGTCGATTGCGCTGTCGCGCCGAATTAGTCCATGCTGTGTCTCCCTCAGTCTTGCAGCAGTAAAGAAACGACCCTATTTAAAAATAACTCATATGTTGGTTGATAAATTACCATTTACTAAAATATGCATAGTTAATCTTCACCAAAAAAACTCTAATTCCAGATAATGGCTGCATTACCAATCACTGATCTAAAGTTTAATACAAAGGTGTGTAAGGAAGGGGAGCACAAAAAGATAAATTAATGCAGAATCGTTACAAATACAAAGGTCAGTACTTT